TGGAGTAATAATTTTATTGGGAGAAATTCCAAACACTCCCTTTGCTGCTCTTATTCCTTTGAGTATTAATTGTCCTACAGCCTCAGGATACCTAGTAAGAATAGTGTTAGGAGAATAAGATAAATGTATCCATAATAATGGACCTTCTTGCCAAAATACTCCTGTAGGAATATTTTTTGTTGGTAGTACAATAAATAATAAAGGCAAACTTTTATCAGTTCTATCCAAATGCATATTTTCCATATATGTTTCAATGAGTTTTAATGTCTTTCTTGCTTCAGGCATTAACATGCGGTGTGAATTTGTATCTGATGGACCTTTTAGAATATCAAATAAAGGTCCCAATTCTCCTGTTGGTATGCCTAGATAAGGCCTTATCCAATTTATGTCTCCCAACAACTTTTGAAAGTCATTAAGTTTTTTAAGTTGATCTACTCGTATTTGAATTTTTGGTTGGCGGACCATGGTTTAGGATAGTAGAACTCCTAAATAATTTATTGGATAATTTAATTGTACTTTATCTATTGCTATCTCTAGATTATAATTTTTTAATAAATTTGTAAATATGGCATAACATTCTAACAATATGTTTTTATCTTTGTGTGCTAATAATACATCGTCCATATAGTGAAATATTTGTAGTTCAGGATTTTGATTTCTAAGCGGCTGGATTGCTTTGTTAACATAAATTTGACACATAGTTGGGCTGTTAGCCATCCCTTGAGGGAGTACTTTCCATTCATATCTCTGATCAGGACCTTCATGATTTAGTGCAGGGACAGTAAATGCAAAATGTGGACTATCCTCAGGATGAATTGGAATTGAAAAAAAACAATCTTTAATATCTATAACTAAAACATACCAGGTTTTTGGCAAAGCAGACAATTGGGGAATCCCCGATTGAGCAGGTCCCATGATAACCATCTCATTATTAATAGCTCTTAAATCTTGCAATAATCTCCATTTGCCAGATTTCTTTTTGATGACAAAAATGGGAGTATTATGGGGAGATACAGAAGGTTGTGTATGTCCTTCCGCTAATTGTTGTTTGACCAGGTCATGGGCTGCTTGTATCTTTTCTTTAGTCAGGGGCCACTTAGAAACCCATACTGGCCTTTCTGATTTCCAAGTAATTTTTATTTTCTCAGTGACCCCTTCTGAAAACCCAATCCATGTCTATCTGTTTTTTGATCTATTTGAATTGGTGCCACTATACCTTGTTCTTGTTCTCCTAATCCTTTTCCTTTTTTAAAACCTTGTCTAGCCATAATAGTGGGCACATTTGAATTGTTGTTGTTTGTTAATATTAACCCTAATTGACCTAGAACATCTCGTCCCCATAAATTTATAGGAAGATGATCTAGAACATATGGCTGTATAGTTCCTTCACATCCTTCAGGATCTTTCCAATCTAATACCATCGCACTTCTATGGGGATTTGTCACTATTCCTAGGCTTCGAAGCGTTTGAGTGGCTTGTTGTAATGGCCAGTGTTTTGGCCATTCTTGGCGGGAGATAATGCTAAGGTCTGCACCTGTATCCAGTAGCCCATTAAATTCATGTCCTTGAATATTTAGTTTTAGCATGGGCCGAGAATCTAAATTTAAAGAAAGCATAGCCCAATCTATACCTGTAGAGCCTAATCCCCTGGAACCTCTTTCTACTGAACGACTGGGAAATTTTTCAAGCAGGCTGAGTATTATCAACAATTGTGCGATTCTGACTCCTCGTGAAATTACTGATATACCCCTAGGAGAACTGGCTATACTTTTTATTTCACCTTCGTAATCAGGGTCAATTACCTCAGGACTTATCATAAGTCCTTTTAGAGTAGAGGAACTACATCCCAACAACAAGACTACTGTTCCTTGGGGAAGAGGTCCTTTTACCCCTGTGGGAATGATTTGAACTCCCATCTCTGGAGTTAGTACTGCTCTGGCAGAGGCACAGATGTCCAACCCTGCGCTCCCTCTGGTTTGTCTAATAAGGGATCTAATGGATAATGTGTCCTGGGAACTACCCTGATGGTATTGTTGGGTTCCTCCAATGCCCTGTATATTTGTGGTCATGGGCCCTGGAGCATTGGGCCCCGCTGTCCGTTTTTTGGCATTGGAGTCCAATGTTTTCTTCCACGATATCGTGGGTAAACACCTGGTCCTTGTTCGTTTCTTGACAATGGAGCAGTAGTCTGAGAATGGCACTCAGAAGCCCAGTGTCTCCCTCGTTGGCATCGTGGGCAAATATCCGGTATTCTACCTCTTTGATACCTAGTTTTGTTAAAACCTCCTCCTATGGGGCAACTCCTTCTAAAATGTCCTGTTTGTTCACAGTTGTAGCATGTTTTTGGCCTGGCTCCTAATGCCTGTTGTACTGTAGCTGCCACGATTTGCCCCTATTCATTGATGTCTCTACATAGTTTAATATATGTGTTTAAATCTGTATTTCTCCATGGTCTAATGGCCTCCCTGCACCATTTATTTGCTTGTTCATAGGCTAGCTGTTTCACTAATGGCATTGCTTGTTCTGCATCCCCAAAAACTCTGGTAGCTGTTTGCAAAAGTCTGTCTACAAATTCTGCATAAGGCTCATTTGTCCCCTGTATTACTTTGGATAGTTGACCTTGCAAATCTCCATGCCCTTGTGAAGTTTTCTATGCCTTAACCGCAGCTGAAGCGATTTGTGAATAAATGGCAGGATTGTATTGAATTTGTTGTTGCTGGCCCTTATAAGGTCCCTCTCCTAACAGCATCTCTATATTTCTCTGAGGATAACCGGCTGCTTCATTTCGCCTAGCCGTTTCCATACAAAATTCTTGATTGGCAATCTTCCACAGTAAAAACTGTCCTCCATTTAGCACAGCTCTACACATACTGGCTCAATCTGCTGGTGTCAAGTTCAAGTTGGTAATAGATTCGACCATACTTACAGTGAAAGGTGCTTGAGGACCATAGGTTGTTACAGCCTCTTTCAGCTGTTTCACTGTTTTGAAATCTAAAGAATGGTGAATTCCCTGCCCTCCTTCCTCCTGAAATATAGGGCATGCTAATCTTTGAGGTCCTGTCTCAGGATCCCATCTATCAATTATGGGGGTTGGGGGCCACCCAGCATATGTTGTTTCCATAGGTGGAGCTGTTGGTTGAATACTTACGCCCTCTGGTGATAGAAAGGGGTTAGTAGCAACCTCCTGTTGTAACTTCTCCCCTAATAGCCCTTTCTCCTCTAAACTTTTTTCCCTTGTCTGACTGACTAAGATGTCTTCTTCTAGACTAAGCAAACAGGATTGTACCATCGTCCATAATGGTAATGTGCCAACTGACAGAGTTCCTGGGCTTTCCTTTTCTATCCTTTTTAAATCACCAAGCTGGTTCCATTGTGATATATTTAACAACCCCTCTTTAATGAACCAGGGGCTATACCTTTGTATCGTCTTAATGTATGCCCTGACTGTTCTTGATTTTACTGAGATGCCTCCTTCCTCTAGTAATTTACTTAACGCCCTTTTGGTTTGGTTCTTAATAATTTTTAATTCCATTTTTTCGTGACAAAGATACCCCCACTAAGATAATGCAAAATAAAACCGAGACAAAAATGAAACAAAAATAGAAAAAAAATTCATTATATCAGCCTTTCTATCCTCCTGCAATGTCCATCTCCCTATCTGTTCCTTAGACGCAAATAGTTTTTCCTCAGATGTGAGCGGTTTTTCTTCTGTCCCACCCATCTCCAGGGACAGGCAACTTAAAACAAAAGCAAAAGAAGAGTCTTTAAATGGTTACCCATCCTCTCGCACTGTCCTCAGGGGCGAGCAGTTTATCTTATTACTTATCCTTAGGCGTTCCCCGTATGGGCCACCATATGCCGTTGTCCGGCTGGGTGAAATAACTGGGAGATGACAAGCAACTTGAAGGTTGAAGCGGGAACTACTTTATTGCGAGTGAACTCAGCGGGAACTGAGCGGAAACTCAAAGTAGCAGGTACCCTAGGTAGCAGGCACCACCTCTCTGCCGGACTGCAGAGGTACATATACCCAACCTATTACACACAGCTTAACTTAGTTAACATAAACTAGATACAGCAGTCAGTCATTAAGGAATCCTTATCATCTTAATGGCTCGCTGGCATTGGCTCAGAAACCACTCCTCCTAGCATACTGCCAGGTGCCATCTTAACCTGGTTGTGGCCCTCATGACATATATATTGTTTTGTTTTTGTTTTAATTGATTTTTTTTAATGTGGTGTCAAGGATAGAATCCAGTGCCTCACACATGCTAGGCAAGGCACTCTACCACTGAGCCACAACCCCATCCCTTGTTGTTTTTAAAGAATCACCCTAGAATGTGAACTGTGATGATACAGATCTTATTTGATCTATTTCTCGCTTTGTTTTTGGCACCCAGAATATTATGTATTATATACTTGGTAAATGTTGATGAGTTGCAGTACAAAGCAGGCTAGAGAATTGAAGGATATTGTTTGTAATTTTGAAAATCAATGACTAATAATTAATGCCAGTCACTAATGGTAAAGCATTCTGAAATGTCTTTGCAAAAAGAAGCAGAGAAAATTAATGAAGTCACAGCCTTTCATTTTATATAAATTACAATGATTATATTCAGGGATTCTCCAGGAACTTTTAAAGGTTGACAAGCATTGACTGTATTTCTTTGACTCAGGAGAGCAAAAATTCTCTGTGGAAGTTAAGTACTTGCTCTTCTCAAGCATTAATTAATTAGAGGAACTATTTAAATCCTGAGAAAAACCAAGTTCCCTGATAGTAAGTAAAGACCCTTTTGCCTTATCTCAGTGAAAAGCTTAACAATTATTTTTAAATGTTGATATCTGTTGACATCCAACCCTAGGAAGTAGTCGGCTGTGGGCCTCACTTGTCTCATTTTTCCTATTTCAAAGTAAATTCTAAGCTAAGCCAAGTTAGAAAAGCATACTATGAGAATCCTGTAGATGGCAGTGTTTGCTTTACTCTGAATTTTTTTTTTTTTTAGGTCATCATTAAGACTATGGGCTGGAATCTTGTTGGTCCTGTTGTTCGGTGCCTTTTATGGAATGATAAAGATGATAAAAGAAAAGATTATTTTCTGATGCTTGATTTATTGGTAAAGGTATGTTAATAACCAAGTTCTCTTTGTCAAAACACACAGCAGTATTATTATTATTTTTAATGTCTAATTCTTATTTGATAAGAAAATTTTTAGTTCATCAAGATATATAAGAAGAAAATTCTGGAGAGAAGCCCAGTCTTTTTGTTGTTGTTTGCTCTTTTTAGATTACATGACAATAGGGTGTAATTCACATATTATACATGCATGGAGGAGGAGAAGCCCAAACTTAATTGGATGGGCAGTTCCATTTCCTAGGAAGTTGTATTTTAACAAGTACCCTTATTGTATAGATGTATTTTACAGAAATAATGCAAGACAACATTGATTTTTTTTTTTTTTTTTTTTTTTTTTGCAATATTGAAACAAAATCAAATATCAGTGCTCTTTTCTCTGTGGAAATTCCTTTCATATCCTCTTTTTTGTTGTTGTTGTTGTTGATGGACCTTTATTTTATTCATTTATTTATATGTGATGATGAAAATCAAACCCAGTGCCTCACATATGCTAGGCAAGTGCTCTACCACTGAGCCACCATCCCAGCCCTCATATCCTCTTAAAAATATGAAAAACCTAGACTGTACGTGATCACAATAGAAGTATGAATGGGAAGTAGAACACAGTTCAGTTGTGACTCACAATTTTTAGAGACCATTGGTAAAAGGCTAGTTGAGTTATAAGTCAATGTACAACTTTTTTAAAAAATATTTATTTCCTAGTTGTAGATGGACACAACACAATGCCTTTATTTTTATGTGGTGCTGAGGATTGAACCCAGGTCCTACCCGCGCTAGGCGAGCACTCTACCACTGAGCCAAAATCCCAGCCCTCAGTGTACAACTTTTAAGAAAGAATAAATTCTGAGTTAAAAAAGACATTATAAGAAGCTACTTGGAGATCAGTACAGGTATATACAAATATGTATTTGGAAAAAGAAGACTATGAGAGTTTTTTAAAAATACAAGACAAATAGGCTGGGGATATAGCTCAGTGGTAGGAGTGCTTGCCTAGCATGTGTGAGGCCTTGGGTTTGATTCATAACACTGCAAAAACATAAACAACACCCCCCACTAAAACAAAACAAAACAAAAAAACAACGAGGCAAGCAAGGTGATAAAATATGGCCATTCAGAAAGCAATGCAAAATTTTATCTGTCTGGGAAGTAAAAAGGAAACTCTAAGGTAGTCTAAATACCCAGCAACATGGAATAGGAAGCTCAAGCTTCCTATGTGGGAAGCTCAAGCAATCTAAAGCAGCATACGGAAGCTCAAAGGAAACCTGAGCTCTGGTGATTCGCTACTTTTCTAATTGTATGAAGCATTTTACTGTTAAGCAAAAATAATTGTGTTTTCTCAGTATATGCTTTCTTTAAAATAGTAATCATGTGGATTTAAATGCAACTTGTATTAAACAGGTTCAATTGTGAATATTTTTATAGTTATGTAATCCAAAGGAATTATTGTTGGGTTTGCTTGAACTGATTGAAGAGCCCTCTGGAAAACAGATATCCCAAATTATTCTTCTTTTACTTCAACCTTTACAAACAGGTAATTATCATTTTGTTATCAAAGTAGTTCTTGTTTTATTTGTGTAAGTACCTTGATGTTTGCCCCCAATGTCAATGCTACACCAAAGTAAAATTTATGACAAATTATTGAGTATTCTGCTTACACTAATAAAAGCAAATGCCAATTTGAATCTTGCTGTTGTGTTGTTACCCAGTAAACACTTTGTTGAACGTCATACTATTTGTTCATGTGCTATATTACAACCTGTAACTTTCTGGTTAATCTTCTTACCTGTGGTTTATATCTAGAATTTTCCTTTGAAGCAAATTTAAAGGGTTACTCTGATGTCTGCAGTACTCAGTCTGACAGTATTGTGGTAGTTTTGTATCTTGGTTAAGAATAGTATCAAGCAGGCTGTTCAGCCTCTATTTTGGAAGGTTGGGATTAAGAATAGCAAAGGTATGACTGAAGAGTGAAACTAGGAGTCATATGGAATGATAAGACTCCATGGCTAAGTGGAATAGTAGAATTGATAAGTAATGGATCTCAGCAACCAAGACAGTATTTATCCATAAGAAGAGGTTATTTTTCATTTTAGGAAATATGTATATCTCAGAGTCTGATAGAGTGACCCAGCATCAGAAATTAGAGTAAATTCAATTTAAAAATGAATGTTCCTGAGTTTTATACTACTTAAAACACTCAATCTTCTTGGGAAAAAAATACTAGCTCCCATTTGTACACTACTGTATAGCTTACCACTCATGGAAAGAATGTGTTTCTGTTTTAAGTATGTAACCTGTTACAAACACACCTAAACAATATTTCATGGCATCAGTTTTAAGATGCTTCATTAATTTCTGTATCACCGCGAAAAAAAAAGCACTCCCAATTAAGCTTAGGATATTTCATCTTGATGTCAGAGTTGTTAAAATGTGAGGAAAGAAGGTATTTATAATTGTACATATTGAATTTCTTGTCCTTTGTTTAGCATACTTGATGAGGCTATCTCAAGTAACAACCTGGTCTCTATTGTAGTGATTCAGAAACTTCGCAACAATAAGGCATATTCAGTTGGGTTAGCATTGTCTACCCTTTGGAGTCAATTATCTCTTCTTCCTGTTCCATACTCAAAAGAACAAATACAAACAGATGACTATGGCCTTTGTCAATGTTGCAAGGCCTTAATAGAGTTCACTAAACCTTTTGTGGAAGAAGTTATTAATGACAAAGAAAACAAGGAAAATGAAAAATTAAAGGATGAATTACTGAAATTGTAAGTATATATTTAAAAAACAGCTCACAATGAATTTACTTTGTTAAGTTATTTTATATCTGTCATGCAACTATAAATCTAGTTTTAGATTTGAATTTTAAAAAAGACTAAACTGTTATATCTTAAGCTGATATAACATGACATTTAATGAGTCATTCATATTTTTTAAAAAATATAGGCATTGTGGTGCATGTCTGTAATCCCAGTGGTTCAAGAGGAGGGGGCAGGAGGATTGCAAGTTCAAAGATAACCTGAACAATTTACCAAGGCCCTATACAATTTAGTGAGACCCTATCTCAAAAAATAAAAAGTACTGTGGACGTAGCTCAGTGGTTAAGTATCCCTGGATTCAATTTGCCAGTACCAAAAAATAAAATAAATAAATAAAACCAAGTCTATTCATTTAATTTATTTCATATTCTTTTATGTGCTGCTTTTATTCATCGTAGTATAGTGAATAATGAAAGTGGAGAAGTAGATACATATAACTCAAAAGAATCTACACTGTGAGGAAATTGTGTTTTTATTGTCCCTGTGAAAACAGCAGAAGGACCAGCAGACAGTTAAACATTCAGCTCTCCATGAAAACAAAGTATTCACACAATAGTATTTACTCGGGGTTACTATGGACTAAACATGCAGTGTTCGATGTGGCTATCAAAATACTTGACATATAGTTGGTCCAAATTAAGATGTGCTCTAACATATCATGTGGACTTCAAAGATTTGATATTCTCCTTTTTTTTTTTTTTTTTTTTTAGTTGTCAGTGGGTCTTTATTTTATTTATATATGGTGCTTGGGATCGAACATAGTGCCTCACACATGCTAGGCATGTGCTCTACCACTGAGCCACAACTCCAGCCCCAGATTTGATATTCTTTAAAAACATAGTATAATACTTCAGTGATTTTTTTATATTGATATGTGTTGAAATATTTTAGACATATGGGGTTAAATTATTAAAATTAATTTCTCCTATTATTTTTCATGTGACTACTAAGAAATCTTAAAAATGGAGCTTGCATTATATTTATAGGACAGCACTAAACTAGATTATTTAATTACATAGACTAATAACCTTTTTTTTTTTTAAAATCTTGGAGAATTTAGCTAGTGTTAGCTTTCCATTTTTGTCGGATTAGGACATTAAAAAAATTTTTTTTAACCACTTATGAAACCCATTACTTTATAAAAGAAAAGATTTTAGGGAAATAGGAAAGGCTTAATCACAAAATAAAATTTGATTTTCTAAGTAAAAGAAATAAAAGTTTATGAAAACATGAACTAATGAATAAAACATCTTGGACTAGCACTGGTTAGTTCTCAAACATTCAGAATCCACTGGAACAGTCTATACATAGAAATGAATTTCACTATGTTGGGTCTAGCAAGGTATTTTTCATGTTCTCTCAATTACTAATAAGATAATTCATCAGCCATTTTATAGGCATTGAATTATTGGCGCTTAGTCCATTTTTGCTGTTGTAATAGAATATCTGAGACTGGGTAATTTATAGTTAATAGAAATACATTGACTCTGAGTTCTGCAGGCTGGGAAATTGAAGATCAAGGCACCAACATCTGGTGAAGGCCTTGAGGCGTCATCTCAGAAGGGTGGAGAGACACAGGGGGGCTGAATTCACCCTTTTCTAACAACAGTAATTCCTCCTGTAAGTGTGGAGCCCTGGACTAATCACCTATCAAAGATCCTATCTCTTAATAATGTTGGAATGGCAATTACATTTCAACATGAGATTTGGAGGGGATAAGCATTCAGACCATAGCAGTGCTGATTTTACTTTTCATGTAAAACTAACTTAAATATGAAGAATTGGCATTTTATACTAGGCAAGTGTTGATTTCTTAATTAACCTATTTCTCATGCCTTAGTTGTTTCAAAAGCTTGAAATGCCCTTTGCTGACAGCACAATTCCTTGAACAATCTGAAGAAGCTGGAAGTGATCCTTTTAGATGTTTTGCATCTGAGATAATAGTAAGTACAGCTAATTTAATCTACAAAATGTGCTATAAACTTAAATGTTATCCTTTTATGTTCTCATATACTATATGTGTGTATGTAAATTGATTATTTTTTAAAATATATTTTTTAGTTGTAGACAGACACAATAAATACCTTAATTTTATGTTTGTTTGTTTATTTTTATGTGGTGCTGAGGATCAAATCCAGTGCCTCACACATCCCAGGTGACCGAACCACAACCCTAGCCCTTGATAATTTATTAATAAAGAAATACGTGGTTTTGTAGAATATAGGTAAGTAAAAAAGATGAAAAATAGAACAGTTATAATTTCACTACAGAAAGACAAATACTATTAACACCTTCCAGAATTTTTCTGCCTATGTATTCTTATATAAGAAAATGTACATGCATATTGTTACTGTCTAGAGGTGATGGATTCGTTGTCTCCATTCAGCGAAGAATTGAAGAACAGGACACAGAGATAGCAAGCAAGAAGTAGTTTTATTGCAAAAGCAACAGAAGTAGAGAGATAGACTTCTCTGAAGAGACAGGGCCCCAGAGCTGGGACTCTGTGGGGGAGTTTTGGCCTGTTCTTTTTAAGGTCTCTGGAATTTCCTCCTTTCCTTGTCTCCTCCCCCTCCCACAGTCTTCTCACTATTAGTGATCGGTGCCTCCTCTGTCCATGTGTTTATCTCTTGGGTCCCCCTCTTAGGAGCACAAATGTGAAAGTATCAGTCTGATTGGGTCCCCTACTTGTGTCCAAAACCACTTTGTCTAGCAGGAAGTTGACCTCATCAGAAGACCGTCTCCATGCTCCCTGCTCTGGACATCCTCACTCAATATCTTGTCCTGGCTGCCTGTGTCCTTGTACATCTCCCTCAATATATACATTTCTTAAAGACTATCATATTTGCCAGGCTTGGTAGCATACGCCTGTAATTCTTTCTTAGCCAAGGCAAGAGGCCTGTGCAAGTGGCCTGTGTGACATCATTTCCCTAGTACACGTATGAAGACATGTATGGTTGACTCTAGTTTGTGTACAATCAGAGAAATGAAAAATTGTGTTCCATTTGTGTATTATGAATTGAAATGCATTCTGCTGTCATGATAACAAATTAGAACAGATAATTAAATTAATTAATTTTTTTTAAAAAAAGAGGGCTGGGGATAGGCCCTGGGTTCAATCCCCAGCACCACACACACACAAAAAAAAAAGAAAGAAAGAAAAGCCAAAGCAAGAGGATTGCAAGTTCAAGGCCAGCCTCAGCAACTTAGTGAGACTGTCTCAAAATAAAAAGGGCTATGGTGGCTCAATGGGTTTAATTCCCAGTACTATGTACACATACACACAAAGCCTAAGCATATTTATACACACACACACACACATTTTTGTGATCTATTTTTTTCTCTTAATATTACTTTTCCATTGGCTTTAGTATTATATGATGTGGATTTAATATAATATATTTATTTAATCTGAATCATGAAGTCAGCATTTAAATTATTTTCAGTTTTTCATTATTATGAACAGTTCCAACTTTTTTTTTTAACAGTTAAGTCTGTGATAAGTATTCTTATAACTAAATCTTTGCATACTTGAAATTCTTAGAAATGGTTTTCTGTGTTCCTCAAATTCCTCATTTTTAAAGGTCATGAAAAATGTTATCAGAGTAGCTCCAGAAATAAGTTTTATTGTAAAACAATTTGGCTTCTTGTATCCAATAGTATTTTAAGCTGTGCAAAGATTCTGTATCAGAGAAATGATCTGAAATATAGAAAAATGTGTACTTAAATCTAATAGTCATGAATCTCAAGAGAGCCATCATTGGCTCTGTGGCTTTTTTCAGTCATGTTTGTTTGTGCAGGTGTAGCATTGGAGGAAAGTTAGATTTAATTAGATTGGGATTTTGAGAACTAGTGAGTTCTACAAAGCAAGAGAAGGGCAAGGGATTGAGCAAAGTGATCACTTTAATTACAATGGAATTTAACTCCTGGGTAAGAGGGAAGTTAGGACATAAATTGAGCACAGTGAATGCAGTATTAATTAGTTGAAGATAGTGGTGTGGTTGACAAATTGTTGGAGTTACTAATTGGAGTAAATTGAAAAGTAAAAGTTAAAGTAAAAAAAAGGAAAAAGTTAAAGAACAGGATACTTGAATTAGTATTATTTTTTTTTTAAATATTTTTTAGGGGCTGGGGTTGTGGCTGAAGTGGTAGAGTGCTCGCCTAACACGTGTGAGGCACTGGGTTCGATCCTCAGCACCACATAAAAATAAAATAAAGATATTGTATCCACCTAAAACTAAAAAATATTTTTAAGAAAATATTTTTTAGTTGTAGACAGACACAATACTTTTATTTTATTTATTTTTATATGGTGTTGAGGATCGAACCCAGTGCCTCACACAGGCCATGCAAGTGGTTGTTCACCACTGAGCCATAAGCCCAGCCCTAAAATTAGTATTATTAAGGAAAAGTTGTAGTTACTAATAACAATGTTTGGGGTATGGCTATAAAAGTGGGTTTTCTAAAGGAGAGGTTAGAGCCAGTTGTGGTGGTGCACACATATAGTTCCAACGACTAGGGAGGCGGATCACAAGTTCAGGGCCAACCTCAGCAACTTAGTGAGACCCTGTTTTAAAATAAAAAAGGCTGGGATGTATCTTAATAGTAAAGTACCTCTGGGTTCAATTTCTAGTACCAAAAATAAAAAAGGAATGATATTGGCTAATTTATATTGTTACATTGTGTGCATGTGTGAATATATAACAACAAATCCCATTATCATGTACAACTATTATATACCAATAAAAATATGGAAAATAAAAGAAGGAGATGGTAGAGGCCAAGATTACTGGACTAGACAAAAATAAAATATCTAAGATTCACCTTAGAACATCTTTGATTATAAGAGAATAGAAATTCAGTGGAGTAGAAAAGGGAATGAAGAGAAAGGAGGGAGATGAGAAAAAGAAAGAGTGGAGGGCTGGGGTTGTGGCTCAGCAGGAGAGTGCTCGCCTTGCACATGGGAGACCCTGGGTTTGATCCTCAGCACCACATAAAAAATAAAATAAGGGGGCTGGGATTGTGGCTCAGGGGTAGAGCGCTCGCCTAGCATGGGCGGGACCCGGGTTCGATTCTCAGCACCACATAAAATTAAGGCATTGTGTTGTTCATCTATACCTAAAAAATAAATATTAAAAAAATAAAATAAGTGAAATAAAGGTATTATGTTCAACTACAACTAAAAAATAAATATTAAAAAAAGGAAAGACATAACTTTCCTATGTACATATATGAATAAACCACAGTGAATCTTATCATCGTATACATCCATAAGAAATTAATTTTAAAAATACAGCTATGGGAACTATGGGTAAATGGCAAAAATATCAATAGAAGGAAGGAACAAGGAGGTAGGGAAAGAGAAAAGGAAGGAGAGGTACTGGGATCTGAATTAGAACAACATATATTCCATGCTTTTATAATTGTATCAAAATGGATTCTACTGTCATGTATACACACCCCAAAAAAGTGGTATTGAAAAGCCAGTCAAAGAAGTGACCTTGAGGTCTAATGACTACAACAAGGAGCCGGAGAGGTAAAGTCACAAGAAAGGAGTTTTAAAGCTGAGGGATTTTAGAGAGGATGGAAAAGAATGGTCTAGAGGCAACAAGGAGAGCAGGTATACTTTCATGCCTAGTTGTACAGTGGGTATGGATTTTTAAAAAAGCAACCATTTAAGAGAGTTGTAGAGAAAACAGTTTCAGCAGAGAACCAGATTTGGAAAATAGGTAGGAAGACCATTTAGAGAATAATTGATTTTGCCAATAATTGTAAGATCCAGAAGCCATGATTTAAGGGTTTCTGAAATTTGAGCAGAATTGAGAAAAGGAATCAGAGGAGGAGGGGATCCCAGAAAATTATGGAAACTACATTCTGAGGATGAGAAATAACTTTGTGATTCATGTAACTAGGGGTACATAGTTTAATATGGTTAATGATGATTCTCAAGATAGTAGTGAAGAAGCTGTGAGTGATGAAGGATTTTTCTAGGAGCATATGCAATCTGGGGCCTTTTCATTGTTGCCATGCTGCACTACAGTATAATGTTCTGGATATAGTGTAAGTACCACCATATGTGGTAGGTATATTCTATTTTGAGAAGATGGCTGTGAAAGTTAGAAACTGTTAAAGGGTATTAAACCTGGGAATAATACAAAGAAATTCTTTGGGATTCATCATTTTAATAGAATATAAATTTAACTGGGATAAGATGGAAGTAGAAAGCCTAGTCAGGTATTCATTGGGAATTGAGAGACATGATAAGAGCCTAAGTGTGTATAATGGTAAAGAAGAAGAGGAGCAGGCAGATTTGAGAGCTTTGAGATCATATTTACAGAATTTGATCATTGATCGTGTGTGGAACAGTAAAAGGGGTGTCATGAATGAAGTTTTTTGTAGGGTTACAGAACATATGAGGGTGCCAATAACTGAGATAGAGAATACAGAGCAAGAACATGTGTCTTGTGATTTAAAACTATAGAAATTCAAAATGTTTAGAAAACTAGAATTAGAACATTATATCCTCATGTACTGATCGCTGAGCTTTAGCAATTTGACAGTTTGCCAATTTTATTTCATCTATCCTCCCTGTTTTTGTGCTGTAGTATTTTATAGCAAGTCCTAGACATATGACACCTGACAAGATTTATACATATGTATGTGTATACACACACACACACACACACATATTGGTAGTAGGGATTGAATCTGGGGCACTTTACCCACTGAGCTACATCCCCAGTCCCGTTTAGTTTTTACTTTGAAACTGAGTCTTGCTAAATTGCGGAGGCTGGCCTCAAACTTGTGATCCTCTTGCTTCACCCTCCCAAGTTGCTGGAATTACAAGTGTTTACCACTGCATCCAGGTAACATTAATTTCTTAATATATAAATGCTTCTTGACTTACTATGGGGTTTTACAGCAATAAACCCATCAAAAGTTGAAA